GTGATCCCTGCGAGGAGAGACAGGGAGGATTCGTTCCCGAGCTCCGGGCTGTCCTCTCGGCAGCCATCCCTGGGCAGCGATTCCCAAAAACGTGGCTCATCAAATCAACCCCCACGTGCCAGCGGCGTTCCTCCCATCCCAGCCCCCTTTCCCAGCTTCCCGGGAAGCCACAGACACATCCTCGCCCTTCCCTGTGCCCCTCCCCAAAATAATCCCCCTCCCGAAATAATCCCCCCTCCCTGAAATAATCCCCCTCTCCCTGAAATAATCCCCCTCCCTGAAATAATCCCCCTCCCCAAAATAATCCCCCTCCCTGAAATAATCCCCCTCCCAGAAATAATTCCCCCTCCTCAAAATAATTCCCCCTCCTCAAAATAATCCTCCCTCCCTGAAATAATCCACCTCCTTCGAAATAATCCCCCCTCCCTGAAATTATCCCCCCCTCCCTGAAATAATTCCCCCCCCACCCCCGGGAATGGGAACCTCTTTTCCCTGAGCTAAAAATAAAACCAGGGAGAAGCAGGAGCTGGGAAGCTGCTCCCAGCCTCGGGTTGCCCACTGGGATCCCACTCCCAGTTCCAAAGCAGCTCCAGGTGGATCCTCCTCTTCCCATCGTAGGGAACGGGGAGAGTGGGATACAAATTCCCAGGGGGGGCAGGAAGAGGAGGAACAGATGCCAATCCATGTGGGATTGGAGGGAGCAGCTGGAGGGCGGGTTTAGGATGGATTTTGGGAAAAGTTGGGCACTGGGAGGGTCTCCCAAGGCTTCCAGAGCTCAGGGAGAGGGGAGGAATTTGGGAATCCAATGGGCGGTGCCGGAGAGTCGGATACAAATTCCCAGGAATGGGAAAAGGACGGACACAGATCCATGTAGGATCAGAGGGAGCAGCTGGAGGGCAGGTTTAGGATGGATTTTGGGAAAAGTTGGGCACTGGGAGGGTCTCCCAAGGCTTCCAGAGCTCAGGGAGAGGGGAGGGAATTTGGGAATCTGACGGGCGGTGCCGGAGAGTGGGATACAAATTCCCAGGAATGGGAAAAGGACGGACACAGATCCATGTGTGGGATCGGAGGGAGCAGCTGGAGGGCGGGTTTAGGATGGATTTAGGAAAAGTTGGGCTCCCAAGGCTTCCAGAGCTCAGGGAGAGGGGAGGGAATTTGGGAATCCGACGGGTGGTGCTGGAGAGTCGGATACAAATTCCCGGGAGTGGGAAATGGATGGACACAGATCCATGTGTGGGATCGGAGGGAGCAGCTGGAGGGCGGGTTTAGGATGGATTTTGGGAGAAGTTGGGCACTGGGAGGGTCTCCCAAGGCTTCCAGAGCTCAGGGGGAGAGGGGGCAGTTTGGGAATCCGACGGGCGGTGCCGGAGAGTGGGATACAAATTCCCGGGAGTGGGAAGAGGATGGACACTGATCCATGTGTGGGATCGGAGGGAGCAGCTGGAGGGCGGGTATAGGATGGATTTAGGAAAAGTTGGGCTCCCAAGGTCTCCAGATGGTCTCCCAAGGCTTCCACAGCTCGGGGGGCTGAGGGAGGGTTTGGGAATCCGACGGGCGGTGCCAGAGAGTCGGATACAAATTCCCGGGAGTGGGAAATGGATGGACACAGATCCGTGTAGGATCAGAGGGAGCAGCTGGAGGGCAGGTTTAGGATGGATTTTGGGAAAAGTTGGGCACTGGGAGGGTCTCCCAAGGCTTCCAGAGCTCAGGGAGAGGGGAGGGAATTTGGGAATCCGATGGGCGGTGCTGGAGAGCCAGATACAAATTCCCGGGAGTGGGAAGAGGATGGACACAGATCCATGTGTGGGATCGGAGGGAGCAGCTGGAGGGCGGGTTTAGGATGGATTTTGGGAAAAGCTGGGTACTGGGAGGGTCTCCCAAGGCTTCCAGAGCTCAGGTTGTGGGGGTTTGGGTTTGGGAGCCCAACGGGTCCCTCCGGAGCAGGAAAAGCCGGGATGAGGCGATTCCAGAGGCGGGAAGGGGAAGGTACCTGTCGATGACGTGGATGCCCATGATGAAGGGCTGCAGCTCGGGGCTGGAGGGGTAGCAGAGCTTGCACTTGGTGTGGGCGCTCAGCACGGTGCCATCGCTCAGCGTGAACCGGTACGAGGGGCTGAAGGCGGCGCCGCGGGTCATCACTGGGGGGGGGAGGGACCAAAAACACCCCAAAATAGCACCCCTGGGATGATCAGGATCAGAGTCTGACCCCACAGCACCACAAACCTTCCCAGGGGATGGATTCCTGCAGCCTGGCTCTTCCCAAAAACCCCTGGGAGCCAATGGGCTGATGTTCTGATGTGCAGAGCAATCTCTGTCATCACTGGGGGAGGGACCAAAAACACCCCAAAATAGCACCCCTGGGATAATCAGGATCAGGGTCTGACCCCACAGCACCACAAACCTTCCCAGGGATTGATTCCCACAGCCTGGCTCTTCCTAAAAACCCCTGGGAGCCAACGGGCTGATGTTCTGACCCTCCACACCCTCTCCATGGATATCCAGAGCAATCCAAACTCACCACTTGGGGGGACTCCAAAATCCCAAAATAGCACCCCTGGGATGATCAGGAGCTGGGTCTGACCCCTCAGCACCACAAACCTTCCCATGGGATTGATTCCCACAGCCTGGCTCTTCCCAAAAACCCCTGGGAGCCAACGGGCTGATGTTCTGATGTGCAGAGCAATCCCTGTCATCACTGGGGGGGGGACCAAAAACACCCCAAAATAGCACCCCTGGGATGATCAGGATCAGGGTCTGACCCCACAGCACCACAAACCTTCCCAGGGGATTGATTCCCACAGCCTGGCTCTTCCCAAAAACCTCTGGGAGCCAATTTTCCACCCCAACACAATCTCAACAGGGCAATCCAAAGTCACCACTGGGGGGACACCAAAATCCCAAATCTCACCTATGGGATGGTCAGGATCAAGGTCTGACCCCACAGCACCACAGACATTCCCCTGGGATGGATTCCCACAGCCTGGCTCTTCCCAAAAACCTCTGGGAGCCAACGGGCTGATGTTCTGATGTGCAGAGCAATCCCTGTCATCACTGCAGGGACACCAAAATCCCAAATCTCACCCCTGGGATGGTCAGGATTAGGATTTGACCCCACAGCATCACAGACATTCCCAGGGGATGGATTCCCACAGCCTGGCTCTTCCCAAAAACCTCTGGGAGCCAATTTCCTACCCCTCCAGGACATTTCCTGGATGTCCAGAACAATCCAAAGTCACCACTGGGGAGGACTCCAAAATCCCAAATCTCATCTCTGGGATGATCAGGCGCTGGGTCTGATCCCACAGCATCACAGACATTCCCAGGGGATGGATTCCCACAGCCTGGTTCTTCCCAAAAAACCTCTGGGAGCCAATTTTCCACCCCAACACAATCTCAACAGGGCAATCCAAAGTCACCACTGGGGGGACACCAAAATCCCAAAACAGCACCCCTGGGATAATCAGGATCAGGGTTTGATCCCACAGCACCACAGACCATTCCCAGGGGATTGATTCCCACAGCCTGGCTCTTCCCAAAAACCCCTGGGAGCCAACAGGCTGATGTTCTGATGTGCAGAGCAATCCCCAGTCATCACTGGGGGGGGGACCAAAAACACCCCAAAATAGCACCCCTGGGATGGTCAGGATCAGGGTCTGACCCCACAGCACCACAAACCTTCCCAGGGGATTGATTCCCACAGCCTGGCTCTTCCCAAAAACCTCTGGGAGCCAATTTACCAGCCCTGCACACCCTCTCCATGGATATCCAGAGCAATCCGAAGTCAGCACTGGGGGGACACCAAAATCCCAAAATAGCACCCCTGGGATGATCAGGATCTGGGTCTGATCCCACAGCACCACAAACCTTCCCCTGGAATGGATTCCCACAGCCTGGCTCTTCTCAAAAACCTCTGGGAGCCAATTTTCCACCCCTCCAGAACATTTCAGGGATGTCCAGAACAACCCTCAGTCACCACTGGGGGGACTCCAAAATCCCAAATCTCCTCTCTGGGATGATCAGGAGCTGGGTCTGATCCCTCAGAACCACAAACCATTCCCAGGGATTTATTCCCACAGCCTGGCTCTTCCCAAAAACCTCTGGGAGCCAATTTACCACCCCAACACAACCTCAACAGGGCAATCCCAAGTCACCACTGGGGGGACACCAAAATCCCAAAATAGCACCCCTGGGATGGTCAGGATCAGGGTCTGACCCCACAGCACCACAGACATTCCCATGGGATGGATTCCCACAGCCTGGCTCTTCCCAAAAACCTCTGGGAGCCAACAGGCTGATGTTCTGATGTGCAGAGCAATCCCTGTCAGCACTGCAGGGACACCAAAATCCCAAAATAGCACCCCTAGGATCAGGGTTTGACCCCTCAGCAACACAGACATTCCCAGGGGATGAATTCCCACAGCCTGGCTCTTCCCAAAAACCTCTGGGAGCCAATTTTCCACCCCTCCAGGACATTTCCTGGATGTCCAGTGCAATTCCCAGAGAACCCACAAAAATCCCAAAACAGCACCCCTGGGATAATCAGGATCAGGGTCTGACCCCACAGCACCACAAACCTTCCCAGGGGATTGATTCCCACAGCCTGGTTCTTCCCAAAAACCTCTGGGAGCCAATGGGCTGATGTTCTGACCCTCCACACCCTCTCCATGGATGTCCAGAGCAATCCCAAGTCACCACTGGGGGGGACACCAAAATCCCAAAATAGCACCCCTGGGATAATCAGGATCAGGGTCTGACCCCACAGCACCACAAACCTTCCCATGGGATTGATTCCCACAGCCTGGCTCTTCCCAAAAACCTCTGGGAGCCAATTTACCACCCCTGCACACCCTCTCCATGGATATCCAGAACAACCCTCAGTCACCACTGGGGGGACACCAAAATCCCAAATCTCATCCCTGGGATGGTCAGGATCTGGGTCTGATCCCACAGCACCACAAACCTTCCCCTGACATGGATTCCCACAGCCTGGCTCTTCCCAAAAACCTCTGGGAGCCAACGGGCTGATGTTCTGATGTGCAGAGCAATCCCTGTCATCACTGGGGGGGAGGGACCAAAAACACCCCAAAATAGCACCCCTGGCATCGGGGGCTGACCCCTCAGCACCACAGACATTCCCTTGGGATTGATTCCCACAGCCTGGCTCTTCCCAAAAACCTCTGGGAGCCAATGGGCTGATGTTCTGATGTGCAGAGCAATCCCTGTCATCACTTCAGGGACACCAAAATCCCAAAATAACACCCCTGGCATCGGGGTTTGACCCCTCAGCAACACAGACATTCCCAGGGGATGGATTCCCGCAGCCTGGTTCTTCCCAAAAACCTCTGGGAGCCAATTTACCACCCCTCTGGAACATTTCCTGGATGTCCAGTGCAATCCCCAGAGAACCCACAAAAACCCCAAAATAGCACCCCTGGGATGATCAGGATCAGGGTCTGACCCCACAGCACCACAGACATTCCCAGGGGATGGATTCCCACAGCCTGGCTCTTCCCAAAAACCTCTGGGAGCCAATTTACCAGCCCTGCACAGCCTCTCCATGGATATCCAGAACAATCCAAAGTCACCACTGGGGGGACTCCAAAATCCCAAATCTCATCCCTGGGATGGTCAGGAGCTGGGTCTGATCCCACAGCACCACAGACATTCCCAGGGGATGGATTCCCACAGTCTGGTTCTTCCCAAAAACCTCTGGGAGCCAACTTACCACCCCTGCACACCCTCTCCATGGATATCCAGGGCAATCCAAAGTCACCACTGGGGGGACTCCAAAATCCCAAATCTCATCTCTGGGATGGTCAGGAGCTGGGTCTGATCCCACAGCACCACAGACATTCCCAGGGGATGGATTCCCACAGTCTGGTTCTTCCCAAAAACCTCTGGGAGCCAATTTTCCACCCCAACACAACCTCAACAGGGCAATCCAAAGTCACCACTGGGGGGACACCAAAATCCCAAATCTCATCCCTGGGATGATCAGGAGCTGGGCCTGATCCCACAGCATCACAGACATTCCCAGGGGATGGATTCCCACAGCCTGGCTCTTCCCAAAAACCCCTGGCAGCCAACGGGCTGATGTTCTGCCCCTCCCCATCTCCCCAGCATTCCCAGGAATTTCCTGCTCCACGGGAAGAGTTCGAGGGGTTGTGACCCGAAATCCTGGGAATCATTAAGGTTGGAAAAGACCTCTGGGATCTGGGAGTTCCCATCAGCATCCAAGGAAAGGCACAGGGAAAACCCGGAATAAATCCCCTCCTTCCACACCTCCCCCCAAAACTCCCTGGAAAACCCAATCCCTGATCCCACAACACCCCCTTGGGATGTGTCATCCCACAAGGAAAACCTGGAATAAATCCCCTCTGGAAAACCCAATCCCTGATCCCACAACTTGGGGCCGTGTTATCCCACAGGGAAAACCAGGGATAAATCACCTCATAACCCCCTGGAAAACCCAATCCCAAAACCCCCTGCCTTGGGATGTGTTATCCCACAGGGAATAAATCCCATCCTTCCACACCTCCCAACTCCCCCCTGGAAAACCCAATCCCTGATCCCACAACACCCCCTTGGGCTGTGTTGTCCTACAGGGAAAACCTGGAATAAATCCCCTCTGGAAAGACCAATCCCTGATCCCACAACACCCCCTTGGGATGTGTTATCCCACAGGGAAAACCTGGGATAAATCCCCTCATAACCCCCTGGAAAACCCAATTCCTGATCCCACAACACCCCCTCGGGATGTGTTATCCCACAGGGAAAACCTGGGATAAATCCCCTCATAACCCCCTGGAAAACCCAATCCCTGATCCCACAACACCCCCTTGGGATGTGTTATCCCACAGGGAATAAATCCCCTCCTTCCACACCTCCCTACTCCCCCTTGGAAAACCCAATCCCTGATCCCACAACATCCCCCCCACCCTTGGGATGTGTTATCCCACAGGGAAAACCTGGAATAAATCCCCTCCTTCCACACTTCCCAACCCCACCCTGGAAAACCAATCCCTGATCCTTCAACGCTCCCTTGGGCCATGTTATCCCACAGGGAAAACCCGGAATAAATCCCCTCTGGAAAACCCAATCCCTGATCCCACAAAACCCTCCCCTTTGGGCGATTTTATCCCACAGGGAAAACCTGGGATAAATCCCCTCATAACCCCCTGGAAAACCCAATTCCTGATCCCACAACATCCCCTTGGGATGTGTTATCCCACAGGGAAAACCTGGGATAAATACCCTCTGGAAAGACCAATCCCTGATCCCACAACACCCCCTTGGGATGTGTTATCCCACAGGGAATAAATCCCCTCCTTCCACACCTCCCAACTCCCCCCTGGAAAACCCAATCCCTGATCCCACAACATCCCCTTGGGATGTGTTATCCCACAGGGAAAACCTGGGATAAATACCCTCTGGAAAGACCAATCCCTGATCCCACAACTTGGGGCCGTGTTATCCCACAGGGAAAACCTGGAATAAATCCCCTCTGGAAAACCAATCCCTGATCCCACAAAACCCTCCCCTTGGGGATGTGTTATCCCACAGGGAAAACCCAGGATAAATCCCCTCTGGAAAACCCAATTCCTGATCCCACAACACCCCCTTGGGATGTGTTATCCCACAGGGAATAAATCCCCTCCTTCCACACCTCCCAAATTCCTGGAAAACCCAATCCCTGATCCCACAACATCCCCTTGGGATGTGTTATCCCACAGGGAAAACCTGGGATAAATCCCCTCATAACCCCCTGGAAAACCCAATCCCTGATCCCACAACATCCCCCCCCTTGGGGATGTGTCATCCCACAGGGAAAACCTGGGATAAATCCCCTCATAACCCCCTGGAAAACCCAATCCCTGATCCCCATCCCCCCCCCCTTTGGGGCCGTGTTATCCCACATGGAAAAACCCTGGGGAACCTCCCACCTTGGGAGCTTCCCATGCACCCCAGGGTGGGAACGTTCCATGCTGGAATTCCAGAGGATGCCGTTACCTTCCTGGAAGAGCTGCTTGGCGTAGGAGGGCTCCCTGCCCTGGGGCTGGAAGAAGGCGTAAATGCATTTCCGCACCAGGTCCTCCCAGCCCGTGCGGCCCGCGGCGCGCAGAGAGCTCGTGTCGATGGAGATGATCTTCCCTGGCACGGGGAGAGCGCGGGGAGGGCTCGGTTATGGAATCTGGGCCAGGGCAAAGGCGGGAAAGGGGAAGGGAGACCCTTCCCTGAGTGCCGAGATTCCCAGGGAACCCCCCCTTGTTCCCGGAACTCCTTCCCAGAGAGGAGTTGGGCTGGGCATGGATCCAATGTCAGGCTCTGGATCCAGGCTGGGAGAGCTGGGAATGGCCAGGCTGGAGCAGGGAAGGATCCAGGGAGAGCTGGGAGTCCCTTCCAGAGCCTGCAGGGGCTCCAGGAGAGCTGGAGAGGGATTTGGGATCAGGGCCTGGAATGGCAGGACACAGGGAATGGCTTCCCACTGGGAAAGGGGAGATGGGGAAGGCTGGAATTCCCAGGGAAGCTGTGGCTGCCCCTGGATCCCTGGAGTGTCCCAGGCCGGGCTGGATCCCCTGGGATAGCGGGATTGGAACGGGATGATCCTTAAGGTCCTTTCCCACCCCAACCCATCCCAGAACTGGATCATTCCCATCTTTCCCTCCCCCCCACCCATCCATCACCCCCTGGAACCCAAGGCCTGTGGGATCAGGGAGTGGGAACTCCCCCACTCGGGGAGGACCTCCTGGATCCCTTTTCCCACCATTCCCGGGTGGAAGATGCCGAGGATTCCCGGGAAGTACCCGTGGTGTCCTGCTTGGTGACGAAGGATTCCGGAGGGGCCACGGCCGGGGGGCGGGGCAGGCGCCTGGCGATGCAGATCAGGCACGACTGGAAATCTGGGAGAGAGAGAAGGGGAAAAAAATTCCCATTGGGAATCCCGAATTTCCCTCTGATTCATTCCATTATCCCTTCCCTTCCCCTGGAAGTGGGGTTTTTTTTCCCCCCTGAGGGAAATGAAATACGGGATCTGCCTCCGCTCCCGAAAAATTGGGGCTGGGAGGAATCGATTGTGGAGCTTCCCCCTTGGGATCTGGGAATAAATTCGGGATTAAAAGCCCCCCGGAAAAAGGGGATTTGGCGTCAGAATTCCCCCCTCGTTTATTCCTCAGGGAAGGAATTCCCAGTCCCAGCAGGGATGGGGGGATGGGGATGCTCCTGCAGTTCCATCCCCATCCCTGTTCCCTTCCTGCACTGCCATCCCATCCCTGTGCTCCGGCATTCCAATCCCATCCCATCCCATTCCATCCCATCCCATCCCTTCCTACCCCATCCCATCCCATCCCCTCCATTCCCAGGCAATCCCATCCCATCCCATCCCATCCCAAACCTCTGGATTCCCAGATCCCATCCAGGCTCCTCCACATTCCCATCCCATCCCATCCCATCCCATCCCATCCCATCCCAAGCTTCTGGATTCCCAGAGCCCCTCCAGGTTCCACCACATCCCTGATCCCAAACCTCTGGATTCCCTTATCCCGCATTCCCATCCCAAGCCTCCGGAATCTTGGATCCCATCCAGGTTCCACCCCATCCCATCCCATCCCTGTATCCCATCCCATCCCATCCCTGTATCCCATCCCATCCCATCCCACCCCATCCCGTCCCATCCCATCCCATCCTGCTCCCATCCCACCCCATCCCATCCCATCCCTGTATCCCATCCTACCCCATCCCATCCCTGTATCCCATCCCTGTATCCCATCCCATCCCATCCCATCCCATCCCATCCCTGTATCCCATCCCATCCCATCCCATCCCTTCCTACCCCATCACACCCCATCCCCTCCATTCCCAGGCAATCCCATCCCTGTATCCCATCCCATCCCTGTATCCCATCCCATCCCTGTATCCCATCCCTGTATCCCTGTATCCCATCCCTGTATCCCTGTATCCCATCCCCGTATCCCTGTATCCCATCCCTGTATCCCATCCCTGTATCCCATCCCTATATCCCTGTATCCCATCCCATCCCTATATCCCAGTATCCCCGTATCCCTGTATCCCTATCCCTGTATCCCTGTGTCCCATCCCTATATCCCTGTATCCCATCCCATCCCTATATCCCTGTATCCCCGTATCCCTGTATCCCTGTATCCCTGTATCCCCGTATCCCCGTATCCCTTTATCCCAGTATCCCTGTATCCCATCCCTGTATCCCTGTATCCCATCCCAGTATCCCTGTATCCCTGTATCCCAGTATCCCCGTATCCCTGTATCCCATCCCAGTATCCCTGTATCCCTGTATCCCAGTATCCCTGTATCCCTGTATCCCATCCCCGTATCCCTGTATCCCTGTATCCCATTCCAGTATCCCTGTATCCCTGTATCCCATCCCCGTATCCCTGTATCCCTGTATCCCAGTATCCCTGTATCCCTGTATCCCTCTATAACAGAATCCCCGTATCCCTGTATCCCTGTATCCCAGTATCCCTGTATCCCAGTATCCCAGTACCCCTCTATCCCCGTATCCCCGTATCCGGGTATCCGTGTATCCCAGGGATCCGTACCTTCCCCCTCCTCGCGGAATGCCCTGGGCTGGGACACGGTGAAGCACTGCATCACCTCGTAGCGCTGCCGCAATTCCTGGTTCTCCGAGCCCGCCTCGTCCGGGGGCCGGATCAGCATCCGGCAGCTGAAGGTGTGGCTGTTCCGCCGGCCCGACTCCTGAGGCCACGGCACGCCGTTCACTGGGAATGCAAGGGAAAAGCAGGGATCTCAGCACGAGCACACGATTCCCAAGGATCCACTGGAATGGAACAGAGCCCACAATTCCAGCCCAATGCTTCCCAAGGATCCACTGGAATGGAACAGAGCCCACAATTCCAGCCCAATGCTTCCCAAGGATCCATTGGAATGGAACAGAGCCCACAATTCCAGCCCAATGCTTCCCAAGGATCCACTGGAATGGAACAGAGCCCACAATTCCAGCCCAATGCTTCCCAAGGATCCACTGGAATGGAACAGAGCCCACAATTCCAGCCCAATGCTTCCCAAGGATCCACTGGAATGGAACAGAGCCCACAATTCCAGCCCAATGCTTCCCAAGGATCCACTGGAATGGAACAGAGCCCACAGTTCCAGCCCCTCCATCCATCCCACGGGAATTCAGACTGAGCCCTGAGCAATTCCAGCCCCTCCATCCATCCCATGGGAATGGAAACTGAGCCCTGAGCAATTCCAGCCCCTCCATCCATCCCATGGGAATTCAAACTGAGCCCTGAGCAATTCCAGCCCCTCCATCCATCCCATGGGAATGGAAACTGAGCCCTGAGCAATTCCAGCCCCTCCATCCATCCCATGGGAATGGAAAATGAGCCCTGAGCAATTCCAGAGCCTGGGAGAGCCCTGAGCAATTCCAGCCCCTCCATCCATCCCATGGGAATTCAAACTGAGCCCTGAGCAATTCCAGCCCCTCCATCCATCCCATGGGAATTCAAACTGAGCCCTGAGCAATTCCAGCCCCTCCATCCATCCCATGGGAATTCAAACTGAGCCCTGAGCGATTCCAGCCCCTCCATCCATCCCATGGGAATGGAAACTGAGCCCTGAGCAATTCCAGCCCCTCCATCCATCCCATGGGAATTCAAACTGAGCCCTGAGCAATTCCAGCCCCTCCATCCATCCCATGGGAATTCAAACTGAGCCCTGAGCAATTCCAGAGCCTGGGAGAGCCCTGAGCAATTCCAGCCCTCCATCCATCCCACGGGAATTCAAACTGAGCCCTGAGCAATTCCAGCCCCTCCATCCATCCCATGGGAATTCAAACTGAGCCCTGAGCAATTCCAGCCCCTCCATCCATCCCATGGGAATTCAAACTGAGCCCTGAGCAATTCCAGCCCCTCCATCCATCCCATGGGAATGGAAACTGAGCCCTGAGCAATTCCAGAGCCTGGGAGAGCCCTGAGCAATTCCAGCCCCTCCATCCATCCCATGGGAATGGAAACTGAGCCCTGAGCAATTCCAGCCCCTCCATCCATCCCATGGGAATTCAAACTGAGCCCTGAGCAATTCCAGCCCCTCCATCCATCCCATGGGAATTCAAACTGAGCCCTGAGCGATTCCAGCCCCTCCATCCATCCCATGGGAATGGAAACTGAGCCCTGAGCAATTCCAGCCCCTCCATCCATCCCATGGGAATGGAAACTGAGCCCTGAGCAATTCCAGCCCCTCCATCCCATGGGAATTCAAACTGAGCCCTGAGCAATTCCAGAGCCTGGGAGAGCCCTGAGCAATTCCAGCCCCTCCATCCATCCCATGGGAATTCAAACTGAGCCCTGAGCAATTCCAGCCCCTCCATCCATCCCATGGGAATTCAAACTGAGCCCTGAGCAATTCCAGAGCTTGGGATTGACAGACACTTCCATCCCATCTATCCATGGGAATTCCAAATGAGGCAGGAGAGTCATTCCCAATTCCAGAGGTCGGGAATGGCTCCGGGCTCTTTCCGTTGGATTCCCAATCCAACCCCTGTGACATTCCCGAGGTTTTTTCCCCGGAATCCGGTGGAGTATCTGCCCAGGAATGAACTTTTCCTTTGCTTCCTGCTCTTTTCTGGGATAACCAGGATTGGGATCGACCCCGCAGCGCCACAAATCCCCCCGGAATTATTATATAATTAATACATAATTAATTATATAATTAACTATATAATTAATATATAAATAGTATATAATTAATATATAATTAATATATAATTATTATATTATTATATTATTATTATATAATTATTATATAATTGATCTATAATTAATGGAATATAAATATTATTTATCACTGATTATAATTTATCAATTATTATCATTTATCAATATTATAACGCTGTTAATTATTAATTTTTGCTATTTTTATGATGACTAATTCATTGCTGTTATTAATGTAATTAATTGATGTAACATAACACAATTATTATATTTATATATATTTGTATTTATAGAAATAATTTATATATTATTTATATTTATAGAAATAATTTATATATTTAATTATTATGATAATACTTTATTAACAAAGCACAAAATATAACTTTATCTGCTGTATTTTTGCAGGAAATTATTGACAGCAATAAATTAATAATAGTATTAATGGTGATAATAATTTTATCGTGGTCATTCTACACGAACTAATAAAATATGTGATATAAATATATTTTGAGGTATATATTATATATAATAACCAATTAAATTATTAATAATAACAAATCATTAATAATAATAGCAATAGTTATTTGTATTATAAATTAATTAAACATATATAATTATCATCTATTATATATGCTGCATTATTGATTTAAATATATAGTAATTAATTTATAATAGTAGTTATATAGTAATTAATTAATATATTATATATTAAATATATTATATATTAAAATATACAACTATATTCTATTATATATGATGTATTAATAATTTAATTAATAATACTAAAATTATAATAGTAATGATTAGCTGTATTATATTAATCACATATTATTAAATATATAATTGTATTCCATTATATACAATGTATAAATCAAATAATAATAAAAGAATAAACTCAAATTTGATAATAAACTAAAAATAAATTCAACAATAAACTAAAAATAAATTCAACAATAAACTAAAAACAATTTTGACGATAAACTAAAAAAATTCAACAATAAATTAAAAATAAATCCTATAATACATGAAAAATAAATTCAATAACAAACTAAAAAAAATTTCAAGAATAAACTAAAAATAAATCAACAATAAAAATAAATTTAGCAAGAAACTCAAAATAAATTCAACAATAAAAATAAATCCAACAAGAAACGAAAAATGAATCCAACAATAAAAATAAATCTAATAAGAAACTCAAAATGAATCCAACAATAAAAATAAATCCAATAAGAAACTCAAAATGAATCCAACAATAAAAATGAATCCAACAAGAAACTAAAAATAAACTCAACAATAAAAATAAATCCAACAATAAAAATAAATCCAACAAGAAACTCAAAATAAATCCAACAATAAAAAAAATCCAACAAACTCAAAATAAATTCAACAATAAAAATAAATCCAACAAGAAACTCAAAATAAATCCAACAATAAATGAAAAATAAATCCAACAATAAAAATCAATCCAACAAGAAACTCAAAATAAATTCAACAAGAAATTAAAAATAAATCCAACAATAAAAATAAATTCAACAATAAAGTCAAAATGAATCCAACGATAACAATAAATCCAACAAGAAACTCAAAATAAACTCAACAATAAATGAAAAATAAATCCAACAAGAAACCAAAAATAAATCCAACGAGAAACCAAAAATAAATTCAACACTAAAAATAAATCCAACAACAAACTCAAAATAAATCCAACAATAAAAATGAATCCAACAATAAACCAAAAATAAATTCAACAATAAACTCAAAATAAATCCAACAATAAAAATAAATCGAATACTAAAAATAAATCCAACAAGAAACTCAAAATAAATTCAAAAATAAAAATAAATCTAACAATAAACTCAAAATGAATCCAACAATAAAAATGAATCCAACAATAAACTAAAAATGAATTCAACAATAAAAATAAATTCAGCAATAAATGAAAAATAAATTCAACAAGAAACTCAAAATGAACCCAACAATAAAAATAAATTCAACAAGAATCTCAAAATAAATCCAACAATAAATGAAAAATAAATTCAACAAGAAACCAAAAATGAATCCAACAATAAAAATAAATCCAACAAGAAACTCAAAATAAATTCAACAAGAAACTAAAAATTAATTCAACAATAAAAATAAATTCAACAATAAACTAAAAATAAATCCAACAAGAAACTCAAAATAAATCCAACAATAAAAACAAATCCAACAATAAACCAAAAATAAATCCAAGAATAAAAATAAATCCAACAATAAACTCAAAATAAATTCAACAAGAAGCTAAAAATAAGTTCAACGATAAAAATAAATCCAACAATAAACTCAAAATGAATCCAACAATAAACTAAAAATGAACCCAACAATAAAAATAAATTCAACAAGAAACTAAAAATAAATCCAACAATAAAAATAAATCCAACAATAAAAATAAATCCAAGAACAAAAATCAATCCAACACTAAACTCAAGGTGAATCCAACCATAACCCCCCTCCATTCCCGCCCATGCCATTCCCGCCATTCCAGGGTTTGTTGGGGCCGCTCACCGAGGGATTTGGGGAGCAGGTTCTTGACGAACTCGGCGTGGTCGCCGACGTGCAGGATGCTGTAAACGCTGCTGTTCATCAGCTCCTCCTGCTGATAGCCCAGGTACCCCGTCACGTTCTCCGACACGAACACCATCCGGCCCTCCCGGTTCACCACGAAGAAAAAACCATCCAGAGCCTGGAAAAATCCAAATGAAAACCGGGAATGGGTCACGATCCGGCCCTCCCGGTTCACCACGAAGAAAAAACCGTCCAGAGCCTGCAAAAATCCAAATGAAAACCGGGAATGGGGTCACCATCCGGCCCTCCCGGTTCACCACGAAGAAAAACCCGTCCAGAGCCTGGAAAAATCCACACAAAAACCGGGAATGGGGTCACCATCCGGCCCTCCCGGTTCACCACGAAGAAAAAACCATCCAGGGCCTGGAAAATCCACACAAAAACATGGAATGGGCTCACCATCCGGCCCTCCCGGTTCACCACGAAGAAAAAACCGTCCAGAGCCTGCAAAATCCACACAAAAACCGGGAATGGGGTCAGGGAACGCTCAACACCATCCGGCCCTCCCGGTTCACCACAAAATAAAAACCGTCCAGAGCCTGGAAAAATCCACACAAAAACCGGGAATGGGGTCACCATCCGGCCCTCCCGGTTCACCACGAAGAAGAAACCGTCCAGAGCCTGCAAAATCCACACAAAAAAACTGGGAATGGGGTCACCATCCGGCCCTCCCGGTTCACCACGAAGAAAAAACCGTCCAGAGCCTGCAAAAATCCAAATGAAAACCGGGAATGGGGTCACCATCCGGCCCTCCCGGTTCACCACGAAGAAAAAACCGTCCAGAGCCTGGAAAAATCCACACAAAAACCGGGAATGGGCTCAGGGAGTGCTCACAAAAATGGGGTCCAGAGCCTGGAAAAATCCACACAAAAACCGGGAATGGGTCAGGGAGCGCTCACAAAAATGGGGTCCAGAGCCTGCAAAATCCACACAAAAACTGGGAATGGGATCACCATCCAGCCCTCCCGGTTCACCACGAAGAAGAAACCGTCCAGAGCCTGGAAAAATCCACACAAAAACTGGGAATGGGTCAGGGGAAGAAGAAACCGTCCAGAGCCTGGAAAATCCACACAAAAACTGGGAATGGGCTCAGGGAGTGCTCACAAAAATGGGGTCCAGAGCCTGGAAAAATCCACACAAAAACCGGGAATGGGGTCAGGGGAAGAAGAAACCGTCCAGAGCCTGGAAAATCCACACAAAAACATGGAATGGGGTCACAATCCAACCCTCCCGGTTCACCACGAAGAAGAAACCGTCCAGAGCCTGGAAAAATCCACACAAAAACCGGGAATGGGGTCACCATCCGGCCCTCCCGGTTCACCACGAAGAAAAAACCGTCCAGAGCCTGGAAAATCCACATAAAAACCGGGAATGGGCTCACGATCCGACCCTCCCGGTTCACCACGAAGAAAAAACCGTCCAGAGCCTGGAAAAATCCACATAAAAACCGGGAATGGGGTCACCATCCGGCCCTCCCGGTTCACCACGAAGAAAAACCGTCCAGAGCCTGCAAAAATCCACACAAAAACCGGGAATGGGGTCACCATCCGGCCCTCCCGGTTCACCACGAAGAAGGAACCGTCCAGAGCCTGGGAAAATCCACACAAAAACTGGGAATGGGATCACCATCGGGCCCTCCCGGTTCACCACAAAGAAAAAACCGTCCAGAGCCTGCAAAATCCACACAAAAACCGGGAATGGGATCACCATCCAGCCCTCCCGGTTCACCACGAAGAAGAAACCGTCCAGAGCCTGCAAAAATCCACACAAAAACCGGGAATGGGGTCACCATCCGGCCCTCCCGGTTCACCACGAAGAAGAAACCGTCCAGAGCCTGGAAAATCCACAGAAAAAAACTGGGAATGGGCTCAGGGAGTGCTCACAAAAATGGGGTCCAGAGCCTGGAAAATCCACACAAAAACCGGGAATGGGATCACGATCCGACCCTCCCGGTTCACCACGAAGAAAAAACCGTCCAGAGCCTGGAAAAATCCACATAAAAACCGGGAATGGGCTCAGGGAGCGCTCACAAAAATGGGGTCCAGAGCTTGGAAAATCCACACAAAAACCGGGAATGGGCTCACGATCCGACCCTCCCAGTTCACCACGAAGAAAAAACCGTCCAGAGCCTGCAAAATCCACACAAAAAAACTGGGAATGGGCTCAGGGAGCGCTCACAAAAATGGAGCGAAAATGAATGATAGGAATGAGAGCGGGAATGGGTTGTGTTGGAAATAAAGAGTTAAAAATATGCCATGGAAAAATTAATAGATAAGAGAAAAATTAATTATTATAGACAAGTATTGTATTGGATAATAATTAAATATATTATTATATATATTATTATATATTTTATATATTATTATATATTAAGAAAAATTAACTAATTATTATAGACAAGTATTATGTTATATAATTATATATTATTATATATTATATATATTATTATGTATTATATTATATGTTATATTATATATAATATATATAATTATAGATATTTAGACAAGTATTATACTATATAATAATTACATATATTATTATATATTATAAATATTATTATTTATTATATTATATGTTATATCATATATATACAATTATATAAAAGTATATATAATATATATTTAAATAATAATATATAATATTATTTATTAAAAAAAACAGGGAATGGGGGTCAGAGAGTGCTGACAAAAATGGGGCAAAAATTAATAGCAAGAATGATTTGTACTAGAAATAAAGTATTAAAAATATGCCATAGAAAAATAAATATACGATAGAAAAATTAATTCATTATTATAGACAAGTATTATATTATATAATAATTATATATATTATTAGATATTAATATATATTATATAATATTGTATTATATATTATATATTATACATAATTATATAGATTTATAGATAAAAACATATATTATATATATTTAAATAATAATATATAATATTATTTATTTAAAAAAACAGGGAATGGGGGTCAGGGAGTGCTGACAAAAATGGGACAAAAATTAATAGCAAGAATGATTTGTACTAGAAATAAAGTATTAAAAATATGTCATGGAAAAATAAATATATGATAGAAAAATTAATTCTTTATTATAGACAAGTATTATACTAGATAATAATTATATATATTATTATATATTACATATATTATTATATATTATATTATATAATATATTATTATATAGTATACATATATATTATAATTATATATAATTATATATATAAATACATTTATTATATATTTAAATAATAATATATAATTTGTACTAGAAATAATAGTATTAAAAATATGTCATAGAAAAATAAATATATGATAGAAAAATTAATTATATACAAGTATTATATTATATAACAATTGTATATATTAGATATTATTAGATATTATATAATATTGTATTATATATTATATATAATTATATATATTTATATATAAAAATATATATTATATATATTTAAATAATAATATATAATATTATTTATTAAAAAAAACAGGGAATGGGGGTCAGGGAGTGCTGACAAAAATGGGACAAAAATTAATGATAGGAATGAGAGCGAGAATGATTTGTATTAAAAATAAAGTATTTTTAATATATATTATTAATATATATATTTCTATGTCATAGAAAAAGAAATCATATAAAAATACATTATTATATATGATTATTTAATAATTATATTGTATATATATTTATATAATAAATATTTATATTATATATATTTAAATAATATATATATTATTATATATTAAAAAAACCAGGGAATGGGCGATCAGGGAGTGCTGGTGGATGAAAATTAATAGTAGTGATGATAGCAAGAATTATTTGTATTAAAAATAAATTATTAAAATACGTCATAGAAAAATAAATATATAATGTAAAAATACATTAATTATTATATATCGTTATTATAATATATAATAATAACTATATATTTATATATTCTGGTTTTCCTGGAATCTCAAATGTTCCATCCAGGATTTCCTGCTTTTCCTGGAGCCTCATCCCTCCTTATCCCACTCCTTTTGTCGGATTAATCCCCAAAATCCCTTTGGGGACCCTCTCCCAGCAGAGAATTCCCGAGGGAGCAAATCCTGCACTTCCCAAAAAAGCAGCTTTTGCTCCGAACCGACATTAAATGGGAAAAAAATCCCGGAATATTGAAAAAAAAAGGGAAAAAAAGAAGGAATAAAGGATGGATCCGGCAGCTGCCACTTCCTTCATTCCCAATCCTGTTATTCCTGAAAAACCCCAGCAAATCCCACCTGGCTCCTTCCCCCACAACCTTGGGAGAGCCGGGAAGAAGGTTGGGAAGCTCCAAGGTGGGAATTCCCCATTCCCACAGGGAATTCATCCATGATTTTCCCGTTAAAATTCCACCATCGGCCGGGATGATTTTCGGGAATTCCAGTGGGAAAACATTCCTCAAAAATTCCCGGGATGGGGTTTTTTTTTAAGGGCTTTCCTGGTCAGTGCCGGATTTTTCCATGGATATTCCATAAGCCGGGAAGGGGAGGCAGGAGGAGAATCAGGGAATTCCGTGCCGGGAATCGACGGGATCCAAACGCGGAATTCCCGAGCGTGGGATGGATCCCAGCTGGATGAAGGGCAGGGTGATGGGAAGGGCCATTCCCGAGGCTCTCCCTGCGGAATCCATGGATTTGCGCTCACGGATCCGCAGGAAAAAACTCCTCCCGGGAAAACTCCTCCCGAAAAATGCCGATGGCTCCTTTGGGATTTGCTTCCCTCTGGAATAACCTGCCATTCCCAACCCCAAATCCCCTGGGAAAACTCCCACCCCAACCCCCCGGGAAAGGATTTCCAAGGAAATCCCCTCCCAGACGGCTTCTCCTCACCCTCCCTGTTTTCCAGAGGGCGGAATTCCAACCCTCTGGAATCTCCTGCTGGAATCCCCTCCCATTTTAATCCCATTTTAATCCCATTTTAATCCCATTTTAAACCCCCCTGGGCTCGGTCAAGCCTCGTTTTTTCCAAGGAAATCCTTAAAAAAAATCCCTTTCTCCGTGAGGAAAACCAGCGTTGGGAAGGGGAAAAAATGGGGATTGGGAGATTCCCAAGGGAATTCCAACCTCCAGGAGAAGAGGTCCCAGGGATTCCTTCTCGATCACCCCTTGGCTGCTGGAGGAGATGTCGGATTTCTGCACTTCGTCATCCGTTGTTTTCTCTGGAATGAGGGGAAAAAAAAGGGAATTTCAAAGGAATTTCAAGGAATTATTCCCAGGATTTCATAAAACAGGGATGCTTCTTTCCCCCCCCTCCCCCTCCCCAACTTTTCCAGTCGCTCTCCTGTGAAAATATGGAATTTTGGGGGGGGGAATTATGGAAAATTATGGATTTATGGAAGAATTCTGGAATGATGGAAAATATGGAATTATAGGGGAGAATTCCAGCTGGGAAAAATCCACCTGGAGCAGAAAAAAAGGAAAAAAAAAAATGGAATTCCCGGCTGGGAGAGGGGATTTAACCCGGGAATTCTGGGAAGAATTGATGGGAGAAACTCATGGAAAACCATCCCAGTGGAGCTGCTTCCTTTGCTTTTCCACAGCCAGGGTGGTTTTCCCATGGGAAAAGCTGGGAGAGCCTCTCTGGATGAGATTCCCGAGGATCCAGCTGGGAATAAATCCCGACCCCCCTGGGAATGACTGGGGGGGATTTAATCCCCAAAATCCCACGTTAATTCCGGTTTAATCCCAGCTTTTGGGTGAAATTAGGGAAGAAAGAGGGAAGTGGGAGCGACTTCCAGGTGGGAAAGATCCCGGTTTTAATCAGGAATCCCTGATTTCCCAGGGAAAACTTGGGATGGCTCCAACCTGCAAAATGATCCCATAAAAAAACTTGGCCCTGTGTACATTTGACCCCATTCCCAAGGGTTTTCCAGGTGCTGGAGCCACGAATTACATGGGAATGGAGCTCTGGGATGGTAACTGGGAATTGTTGGGATAAAGGAAGGTCAGGGAAGCAGGGAATGGGTTGGGTGGGAAGGGATTTTAAGGATCATCCCATTCCATGTTAAGGGACAATTCCCGCTATCCCAGGGGATCCAACCCAGCCTGGGACACTGCAGGGATCCAGGGGCAGCCACAGCTTCCCTGGGAATTCCAGCCCGGCCGGGAATCCCTTCCCAATCTCCCACCCCAATCTCCCCTTTCCCAGTGGGAAGCCATTCCCTGTGTCCTGCCATTCCAGGCCCTGATCCCAAATCCCTCTCCAGCTCTCCTGGAGCCCCTGCAGGCTCTGGAAGGGGCTCCCAGCTCTCCCTGGATCCTTCCCTGCTCCAGCCTGGCCATTCCCAGCTCTCCCAGCCTGGATCCAGAGCCTGACATTGGATCCATGCCCAGCCCAACTCCTCTCTGGGAAGGAGTTCCGGGAACAAGGGGGGGTTCCCTGGGAATCTCGGCACTCAGGGAAGGGTCTCCGTTCCCCTTTCCTGCCTTTGCCACCCCCACATTCCATAAAGATCCCAGGGACAGATGGGATCCAGGGAAGGGATTCCCGGCTGGGCTGGAATTCTCAGGGAAGCTGTGGCTGCCCCTGGATCCCTGCAGTGTCCCAGGCCGGGCTGGATCCCCTGGGATAGCGGGAATTGTCCCTGAACATGGAATGGGATCATCCTGAAAATCCCTTCCCACCCAACCCATCCCAGAATTCCAAGATCTCCTCACTGAAGCCTCCAAAAAAAACCCAAAACCCCCAAATTTTTTTTGGGGGGGAGGCCCAAAAAAAGCTGGAAAATTCTCCTGTGCCGGCCCCTTTGGCAGAGCATTCCCAGGATTCCGCTGCAATCCGCCCGCCCTGCCAACTGCTCGCCTTTTGGAAGTTTTCCAAAGGCCGGGAATCTTTTCCAGAAGCTTTAAATAACCCCGGGAGAAGAGAGGGGGGAGGGGCTCCCAGATCCATCCGGGAGCTGCTCCCGGATCCTCCAGCCGGGAAAAACCGGCCCTGGATCCACAGGGAAGAGCGGGATGGGACCCTATGGAATATTCCCACCCCCCTTTCCTGATTTATCCCATCCCAATCCCTGGATCTTCATCCAAATCCTGAAGGATTTTGCCTTTCCTGGCGTTTTCTGGTCCCCATTTTTAGGGAATTCCGGTGATTCCATGGCATGTTGGGATGTCCTGGGATATCAGGAATTTCTCCACTTTCCCAATCCTTAAGGATTTGGGGTCTCACTGGGTTTTCCAGTCCCCATTTTTAGGGAGTTCTACCATTCCATGACTTATTGGGATATCCTGGGATATCAGGAATTTCTCCACTTTCCCAACCCTTTAAGGATTTGGGGTTTTATGGGGCTAAACCTCCCAAATTCAGGGATTTTTGTGATTCCATGAATGCCTCAACACTCAAAGTGACACCAGGACAGAGGTGACACCTCAAAAAGTGACATCAGGACAGGGGTGACACCACAAGAAGTGACACCAGGATAGAGGTGACACCTCAAAAAGTGACACTTGGAAAAGGTGACACCTCAAAAAGTGACATCAGGATAGAGGTGACACCTCAAAAAGTGACATCAGGACAATGGTGACACCTCAAAGTGACACCAGGGCAGGGGTGACACCGCAAGAAGTGACATCAGGACAGGGGTGACACTCAAAGTGTCAGCAGGGCAGAGGTGACACCTCAGAAAGTGACACCAGGATAGAGGTGACACCTCAGAAAGTGACACCAGGGCAGGGGTGACACTCAAAGTGACACCAGGACAGGGTGACACTCAGAAAGTGACACCAGGACAGAGGTGACACCTCACAAAGTGACACCAGGGCAAAGGTGACACTCAAAGTGACACCAGGACAGAGGTGACACCTCAAAAAGTGACACCAGGACAGGGGTGACACTCAAAGTGACACCAGGACAGAGGTGACACCTCAAAAAGTGACACCAGGACAGTGACCTCAAGTGACACCGGACAGAGGTGACACCTCAAAAAGTGACACCAGGATAGAGGTGACGCTCAAAGTGACACCAGGACAGGGGTGACACCTCAAAAAGTGACATCAGGGCAGAGGTGACACTCAAAGTGACACCAGGACAGAGGAGATGCCTCATCCAAGCCAAGCCCTTCCCCTCGTGCTGCTGCCGGAAAAGCGGGAGCAGGAAAACCCTCAATCCCCACAATCGTGGATTGGAGGATCCCAGGAGCAGGAAAACCCTCCCACACGGAATTCCTGCATCAGGAATTCCCACTAATCAATCCCCACAATCACAGATTGGAGGATCCCAGGAGCAGGAAAACCCTCCCACAAGGAATTCCCACATCAGGAATTCCATTAATTAATCACCCCAATCACGGACTGGAAGATCCCAGGAGCAGGAAAACCCTCCCACATGGAATTCCGACAGCAGGAATTCCCACTGATTCCAAAAGGAAACGATTTCCAAAAGGAAAACTCCCCCACACAGAATTCCCACATCAGGAATTCCATTAATTAATCCCCACAATCGTGGACTGGAGGATCCCAGGAGCAGGAAAACCCTTCCCACATGGAAGTCCCACATCAGGAATTCCATTAATTAATCACCACAATTGTGGTCTGGAGGATCCCAGGGGCAGGAAAACCCTCCCAGATGGAATTCCTACATCAGGAATTCCATTAATTAATCACCATAATTTTGTTCCAAAGAATCCCAGGAGCAGGAAAACCCTCCCCCATGGAATTCCTCCATCAGCAATTCCTGCTGATTCCCACTCCACTCATGGATTGGAGGATCCCAGGAGTAGGAAAACCCTTCCCACATGGAATTCCTACATCAGGAATTCCATTAATCAATCACCATAACCGTGATCTGAAGAATTCCAGGAACAGGAAAACCCTCCCACACGGAATTCCAACAGCAGGAATTCCATTAATCCATCACCATTGTTGTGATCTGATGAATTCCAGGAGCAGGAAAACCCTCCCACATGGAATTCCTACATCAGGATTCTCCACTGATTCCCACCCCAATCATGGATTGGAGGATCCCAGGGGCAGGAAAACCCTTCCCACATGGAATTCCTACATCAGGAATTCCATTAATCAATCACCATAACCGTGATCTGAAGAATTCCAGGATAAGGAAAACCCTCCCACATGGAACTCCTACATCAGCAATTCCTGCTGATTCCCACTCCACTCATGGATTGGAGGATCCCAGGAGCACCAAACCCCCTCCCTCCCGCCCGGAATTCCCCCCTCCCCTCAATCATTCCCATTTTTTCCCCGTTTTTCCCATTTTTTTGTTTTGTTGTTGTTTTAATCTCCCTGACCTTGCTCCAGCCTCTTCATCTGCTGGATCTGGTCGACGGTTTTGCGGAGGATCTTGGATTTCTCGGGTTTGACGCTGAGGGTGTCGATGTCTCGGATGTTGGCCGAGAGCAGCTCCGCCAGCTCCTCCAGGTACCGGTGCTCCTGCTCCCGGCGCCGCTTCTCCGCACTGGGATTGGGGAGGGAACAGGAAAAATCCCCTGGATGCACCCATTTATGGATCCCAAAGATCCCATTTATGTCTTGTTTTGGGATGTGTCTGGATAATATCCCAAATATCCCATTTGTATCTTGTTTTGGGACGTGCGTGGATAATATCCCAAATATCTGATTTGTGTCTTGTTCTGGGATGTGTCTGGATAATATCCCGAATATCCCGTCTGTGTCTTGTTTTGGGATGTGTCTTAGTTTGGGATGAGTTTGGATAATATCCCAAATATCCCACTTATGTCTTATTTTGGGATGTGTCTGGATAATATCTCGAATATCCCATCTGTGTCTTGTTTTGGGATGTGTCTTAGTTTGGGATGAGTTTGGATAATATCCCAAATATCCCATTTATGTCTTATTTTGGGATGTGTCCTGGTGCATCCCAAAGATCTGATTGGGGTCTTATTTTGGGATCTATCCCAGTGTATCCCAAATATCTGATTGGAGTCTTTTAGTTTGGGAAGTGTCTCATTTTGGGATGTATCCTGATAAATCCCAAATATCTGGTTGGGGTCTTAGTTTGGGATGGGTCTGGATAATTTCCCGAATATCCCATTTGTGTCTTAGTTTGGGATGAGCCTGGATAATATCCCGAATATCTGATTGGTGTCTTAGTTTGGGATGAGTTTGGATAATATCCCAAATATCCCATTTGTGTCTTGTTTTGGGATGAGTCTGGATAATATCCCGAATATCCCATTGATGTCTTGTTTTGGGATGTGTGTGGATAAAATCGCGAATATCTGATTTGTGTCTTATTTTGGGATGTGTCTGGACAATTTCCCAAATATCCCATTTGTGTCTTGTTTTGGGATGTGTCTTAGTTTGGGATGAGTTTGGAAAATATTCCAAATATCCCATTGATGTCTTGTTTTGGGATGTGTGTGGATAATTTCCCGAATATCCCATCTGTGTCTTGTTTTGGGATGTGTCTTAGTTTGGGATGAGTTTGGATAATATCCCAAATATCCCATTTATGTCTTATTTTGGGATGTGTCTTATTTTGGGATGAGTTTGGATAATATCCCAAATATCCCATTTATGTCTTATTTTGGGATGGGGCTGGATAAAATCCCAAATATCCCATTGATGTCTTGTTTTGGGATGTATCGTGGTGCATCCCAAAGATCTGGTTCAGGTCTTATTTATAATTTATATTATAAATTATATTATATAAATCTTATTTATATATATATATATTTATATAAAAATCTTATTTATATTATATATTATTTATATAATATCCCGAAAATCCCATTTATGGCTTAGTTTGGGATGGGTCCTGGTGTGTCCCAAATTTTTGGGATGTGTCTTATTTTGGGATGTGTCTGGATAATATCCCAAATATCCCACTGATGTCTTGTTTTGGGATGTGTCTTAGTTTGGGATGAGTTTGGAAAATATTCCAAATATCCCATTTGTGTCTTGTTTTGGGATATAACTTGATAAATCCCAAATATCCGATTATGTTGTCTTGTTTTGGGATGTGGCTTGTTTTGGGATGTGTCTAGATAAATCCCAAATATCCCATTTGTGTCTTATTTTGGGACATAACTTGATACATCCCAAATATCTGATTTATATCCTATTTTGGGAATTTATCCTGATATATCCCGAATATCCCATTAATACCTTATTTTGGGATGTATCCTGGCACATCCCAAATATCTCTTTTATATCTTATTTTATTTTGGGATGTGCCTTATTTTGGGATGTGTCCTGATGTATCCCAAATATCCCATCTGATTTTTCCCTCCTATCTTTGGCTCCCTTCCCACCCAAACCTTTCCGGGATCCCCCGGAGCTGGAGCTGCTGCTGGGATTTCTCCAGACTGGGATTTCTTTCTCCAGGCTGGAATTCTGCTTCCCAGCAGGCAAATCCCATGGGATGAGGCTCCCAGGGATTAAAGGGAAACACAGAGATCCAGGGAAAACTTGGGAGCCACTTCCAGAGCCTGCAGGGGCTCCAGGAGAGCTGGAGAGGGATTTGGGATCAGGGCCTGGAATGGCAGGACACAGGGAATGGCTTCCCACTGGGAAAGGGGAGATTGGGGTGGGAGATTGGGAAGGGATTCCTGGCTGGGCTGGAATTCCCAGGGAAGCTGTGGCTGCCCCTGGATCCCTGGAGTGTCCCAGGCCGGGCTGGATCCCCTGGGATAGCGGGAGGTGTTGGGGTTGGAATGGGAATGATCCTTAAAATCCCTTCCCTCCCACCCCATCCCACGATCCTGGGATGAACCTTTGCCTCCCAAATTCCCAAATTGCCTCTCCCCCAGGAGGGGTGACAGGAATGGCAGGAATGATGGGAATGAAGGATGGGAATGACTCCCCTCCCACCCTTTGTCTCCTTCAAATCCCAAAAGAGAGAACCAAAACCATAGAAAACCCAAACTATTCCCTTCAAATCCCGAAAGGAGAGAACCAAAACCATGGAAAACCCAAACTATTCCCTTCAAATCCCAAAAAAAGAGAACCAAAACCATGGAAAACCCAAACTATTCCCTTCAAATCCCGAAAAAAGAGAACCAAACCCATGGAAAACCCAAACTATTCCCTTCAAATCCCAAAAAAAGAGAACCAAACCCATGGAAAACCCAAACTATTCCCTTCAAATCCCAAAGGAGAGGAACAAAACCATGGAAAACCCAAACTATTCCAAGCTGGACCGCCCATTCCATGAATTCCTGAGTCCCTCCATGGGGGATATCCCAGAAAACCCCCCTGCAGTGGGATCAGGTGGGTCCAGGAGCCCTCAAATCCCTGGGAAGTAAAAACCCCCTTCCTGGAAAAAAGGACTGGAAGCCCCCCCGGGATCCAGCCAAGGGAAGGGGCACCGACCATTCCCGAGGGAATCTGGGGAAAAATGGGAATGAATCCCTCTCCCAGCAAAGGAAGAGGGGGAGGAGGGGAGAGAATCCCAAAAAAAACCACAGCCCCCTCTCCCACATTCCGTGAAAAACCCGGAGTGTCTCGGTTGCTGTGGCAACTTCCAGAGGGTGGGAGGGGGGGAGAACGGGATGGTTTTCCTGCCATGGGAGCACTGGGAGAACATTCCAAGGGTGGGTTGCTCTCTGTGCATCCCCAGGAGCTCCAAAAAGCAGGAATGGAACATTCCCAGGGGGAAAAGGCGGGAAGGTCCTGGCCATTCCCAGCTCTCCCAGCCTGGATCCAGAGCCTGACATTGGATCCATGCCCAGCCCAACTCCTCTCTGGGAAGGAGTTCCGGGAACAAGGGGGGGTTCCCTGGGAATCTCGGCACTCAGGGAAGGGTCTCCCTTCCCCTTTCCTGCCTTTGCCATCCCCACATTCCATAAAAACCCCTCTGAGTGGATCCTGAGTGTCCTTTATGCATGGAATGGTTTGGGTGGGGAGGGATTTTCAGGATCATCCCATTCCATGGGCAGGGACACCTCCCGCTATCCCAGGGGATCCAGCCCGGCCTGGGACACTCCAGGGATCCAGGGGCAGCCACAGCTTCCCTGGGAATTCCAGCCCAGCCGGGAATCCCTTCCCAATCTCCCACCCCAATCTCCCCTTTCCCAGTGGGAAGCCATTCCCTGTGTCCTGCCATTCCAGGCCCTGATCCCAAATCCCTCTCCAGCTCTCCTGGAGCCCCTGCAGGCTCTGGAAGGGGCTCCCAGCTCTCCCTGGATCCTTCCCTGCTCCAGCCTGGATGAAGGGGGTGGGTCAGGAAACACATCCCAAGGGATCTGCTTCCCGAGGGCAGATTGCAGATGGATCCCAGCCAGGAGAGCAGATCCTTTGGGAAGAGGTGTCCAAGATCCCCCCCCTCGGCACCAGAGGATCCGTGGCTTTATCCCAAACTCTGGGATAAGGATCAGCTCTGGGATAAGGATCAGCTCTGGGATAAGAGCTGGGACTCAGGGGGAAAAAAAAAGGGGAAAGGTTCGCCTTTGCCATCCCCACATTCCATAAAAACCCCTCTGAGTGGATCCTGAGTGTCCTTTAGCATGGAATAGGATTGGCTGGGTGGGAAGGGATTTTCAGGATCATCCCATTCCATGGGCAGGGACACCTCCCGCTATCCCAGGGGATCCAGCCCGGCCTGGGACACTCCAGGGATGCAGGGGCAGCCACAGCTTCCCTGGGAATTCCAGCCCAGCTGGGAATCCCTTCCCAATCTCCCACCCCAATCTCCCCTTTCCCAGTGGGAAGCCATTCCCTGTGTCCTGCCATTCCAGGCCCTGATCCCAAATCCCTCTCCAGCTCTCCTGGAGCCCCTGCAGGCTCGGGAAGGGGCTCCCAGCTCTCCCTGGATCCTTCCCTGCTCCAGCCCCCTCAACGCAGCAAGAGGCTGGAATATGGAATTCCCACTCAAGGATTCCTTGGGAATCTGGCCTGGGAGTCTCCTCCCCCACCAAAAAAACCCCGTCCCGGATTCCCGTCGTTCACCGGGATAAGGAGCCCCAAATCCCGCTGGATCCTCCCTGCTGGCCCCTCCTCCATCTTTGCAGGCAGAGGGGGTCTCTGGAATTCCAGAGGGCTGGATTGGGAGGGGCTGGGAGCCGGGAATACCTCTGGGCGGTGTCGCAGGGGGAGCCTTTCCGCTTGCGGGAGTCGGGATTGGCGGGGTCGGTGGAGCTGTCGCCCAGCCCGCTCATCGTGAGACACCTACTGTGCACCTGGAAAACAGGGAAAAACGGGGGGTTGGGGGGAAAACAGGGAAAAGGGGGATCCACAGGGATCTGGGGAGCCGCCAGGAGTTTTCCCTATGGAATGGGGACTCCTTTGGGAAGGGAACGGCTCCATGTCTGGGATGGATCCGGGTGGGTTTCCTTCTTCTCCTCCACCTCCTCCATCTCCCCTCTGGTTCCTCTGACTCCCCCCTAATTAACCCTGGACATTAATTAGGGAGCACATGGATCCAGAGACCTCCACCAGGAGCCTTCCCTATGGAATGGGGGACTCCTTTGGGAAGGGAACCCGGGATGGATCCGG